ACTTTAGTAACAAATGTTAAAGTATCAATTTCTAGCCAACAGTAACACAAAAACTGCTTAGTCAGAGGGTAAATTAAGGACATTGTAAAGATACAAAGAAAACTGTGACCAATTTAGAATTGATGAGAGATAAGACATTTAAATAAATACTGTAGCAAGGACAATTGCTTTGTTAAAATTAAACGTGCAATAATTTAATATATTTCAAATTATAATTGCAAGTTTATTAGTCATAAGAAAAAAAAAAAATATATGAAAAGTTTTACAATTCAATTTTTTTCAGTCTCAAATCTGAAGTTATACTGATTTGACATTTTAAAATTTGTAAAAAGTAAAAGATAAAATGAAATAAGCACTTAATATAAAACCCAACAAAAATTAGTAAACTTCAATTACTAGTTTTTGACAAAATATTACTCCTGTCCATTATGTTACAGTTAACACGAGACTTGTATGCAGATGTAACTATTGTGGGACATTGGCAGGACTACTTGTTTTTTTTGTTAAACTATATAGGAGGGAGAAAAAAAGCACAACAATGCACTATTACTTATATCAGGTTTATGAACTAGTCAAGACTGCTGATGCCCTGATTAAATTTATTGTCTCATGTGACAGATGAGCCATGAATGGCCTAAAAGAGTGAGAAAATGAGTGAGTGATCTACTGGCCTACACATTCAACAGACTTAAGAAAATGTGTACTGCCAAGGTTCAAATCTGTCTGATGAAACCTTTTTATGTGAATAGTTTTTTTTTAAACAACCAGCCTATTATCATTGTTATAACTTGTTTGAAAAGTTACATCCATAAACAGAGTTACCAGCAAATATCTCCTTTACAACAAAAGGCTTACTTTATTTTACATTTTCACCTTGAAAATATGTCAAAGCTAACAAAGGTTAGACCAAACTGCCCAAAAGCAAGAAGAGAAAAACAGGTTTGCATAAGACAGAATTAAGCTGAATACCCAACACAATACCAAACAAGACTTGCATTTAAACACAAATTAGATCCTTGCCACCTTCTTTAAACAAAGGACATTATTGCTAGACAAGGTCAAACTAGCAGAAAAAAAAGAATATATATATATATATATATATATATATATATATATATATATATATATATATATATAAAGAAATATAGTCTATATATATATGTGGCCCGACGATTACATCTAGCATGAAAGACTGTCGCCTCTAAGTGTTGACTTCTGTGTTCGCACACACATAAACTTGCACTAAAAATCACCAGTTTATACAAATTAACCCTTTTTTCACTAACTGAATTTGGTTTTGAAAGATTTGATAAAATTAATTTCCACTTGATAGATAAAACTTAAATTCAGTTTTGAACTTAAAATGAATAAGTTTTATCTAGCAACCAATAAAAGATTTCCATTTGCTCCTGTTATGAAGAACTGATAACAGGACAAAAAAAGAAAAAAAGAAAAAAAAGAAACAAAATCCAACAAAATGATTTCTGAATTACCCCACCACAGCTTTGCTCATTTTATAATGAAGTCGTTAGAGGGTGCAGTAAAACAGCTATAAATATGGGACACTCCCTGCCTTTCTCTTTTTCCTCCCGGCATGCTCGAGTGACATCACCAGGTCCCTGCACCCAGGAATGGGGATATCTTTCCCTTTAGTGAAGTCACAGGGGGTAATTGGCCGATATTTCTTTATAACTCCAACAGTGACCGCAAATGCTCACTTACAAATGTCTGCCATTGAATAACATACTTCTACAAATCATACGAGCAGGGTATTTCCAACAGGATGCTGCACCACCTCATTTTGCCCATACTGTCTGAATCAAAGTTTTGCAAATTATTGAATATGTCATGACAGACCGTTGGCATGGCCACCATACTCCCCTGATCTGATGGGTACGATAAAGGATTGTGAAATACTCAAGGGCAGAATAAAAAGTGTAATTGCAATTAAAACATTCCCTGTGAAAGGTTTGTCAAGGCACTAAATTGTACTGCTGTTCACTGGTTTTTGTGCATCAGTCATACTGGTGGACAGGTGGAGACTTCAGTAAACTCTGAATACACGATTCCTCTCATACTAGTGTTAACATAATTTTGACTCATCCTCTCTCTCTGTGTGTGTGTGTATATATATATATATATATATATATATATATATATATATATATATATATATAATTAAGGCCCATTTCACTTCAGCCTTTCATTATAGCATATCTCCATGAGATATAGGATTTTTCCATATCAAAGAATGCTGCCGCTAAATATTCCTTTTTAATGAAAATATTTCTGACAAAAGACTCCACTCAAACCAGGTGGTCAATAGTGTTTTATTATTTCTGAAGCCAGCTTGAAATTTGCAATTTTATTATTAGCTTCAAAAAACAAAGCCTATTATTAACAATTCTTTCAAACATTTTGCATAAACAACTCATAAGAGTGACTGGACGATAGTTTGAGGGATTTTCTAAGTCCTTTCCGGTTTCAGGATTGGAATTATAGTAGCTCATTTCCAGCAACTGGGAACCTTACCACTGACCCATATGTTGTTGAGAATTTCTAGTAGGTAGTTAAAGGAAACATTTGGTAAGGTTTTTTTTTTTTTTTTCCAAATCCATAGTTAATTTCATCTGTGCCAACTGCTGAATTGTTATTCTTATAAAATCTAGTAATTCTGGTAAAGTAAGAGCCTGGTTGTAATTTTCATTATTGTTAGAATAGAAATTTAATTTTTTTTCTTGTTTTGTTAGCCTGAACTAGCTTACCAAAGATTTGGAACATGGGATTTGATAATTATAGAAAACAGGATATGTAATTAAACTGTTTATCAAGTGCAAGTTAATGCTCCTGAACCATCATATTCAAGGCATCTTCAGGCCTAGGAGTACAACTTTGATACTCACACAACATTTAACAGAGAACAAAGGAACAGTACCCCTCGTAAAGGCTGCAGTAATATTAGAAGTTCAATGTGTGACTCCCCTTCAAAATAGTAATGACACAAAAGCTTCAAAAGGATGTCAAAATTTAGATTTTGCTTAAGTTTATCCTTGTGCTCCAACTAATTAAAATAAAATGTAATATAATGGGGTTTAGACCAAATTAAAAAAACAAAACAAACAAAAAAAAAAAAACAGGGAAGCGTTTTATCCACTTGTGCCCAAACAGAAGGAAATGAGCCAACTTTTTGAAAATTGGGACAGAAACGTGCCCAGACCTGCCCCTCCATCACTAAAAATGACAATATATTTCAAACATCAATATTCACCAACAAATCTTCAGCAAAAGTAGCAATTGATTTGCAGCAACAGTGTGGCCAAGAGTTCGGTTTCAGCAAGTTAAAAAGCCATGAAGTTACATATGTCAGAACAGACAGGTTACCTGCGTCAAACACAATAATTTGAATCAAAATCAGCAAGGTTTGTAGGCCGTTTTTAAAATTTTGTGGAATACATTGTCATTTTTAGTGATTTTTGGGTTGCGGGCAGGTCTGTGCACGTTTTGGTCCAGCCCCATCCCAATTTTCAAAAAGTTGGCCCTTTTCCTATTTGGACACAAATTGAGTGGGAATAAAACACTCCCTCACTTTGAAAAATTTAGTCTACAGCCCACTTAAATACATACATGAGAGATGGCCAAACCGTGGATAGAGAGCCCCACACTGCTCCTTGACCATTAACATGTGGCCAATTAAAATATGTCGGCCGAGATCCCTTTTTCACCACAGTTAATATAAGAGGTAAATAAGAAAAATTTCAAACTTTATAAGTTTACTGGGTATGAATAGAGACTCCAATGGATTAAAATGTAAGTTTAATGTTCATGGTTAGTAAGAATATTTAAGAATTTAAATCCTGGTTGAAAGTTTTCATTCCAACTGGCTTCTAAATTTAATATTTTGAAGAACCTAACATCAGGTTACAGATTTTGGCAAGTAGATCAGATTCAGTACACCTTTATGATAAAAAATAATTAGAATTGTATACTTATTTAAACTAGTTTAGCTTTTTAACAAACAAACAAACAAAGGGAGGTGGGTATTAAAACTTTAGGTTTTTAATTTGTCTACTAAAATTCTGAAATGGAAATTTATACAAAATGTGGAATTCAGGATGCTTTTTTTTTTTTTTTTTTACATTCAAGTCTTGTCAATGACATTCAAATTGAGACACTTGGCTGCTTCACCCTTAAGCAAAAGGGAGCTGACAAATAAGGTCAAGGGCACTAAATAGGTGGAGATGAAAAGTGTTTTCTGATCAGTAATTATTTTCATTAACGAGCACCTTGTCACCTTAACTAACATGATAACAGTTACAATGGTTAGATGACTTTTGGCTGCAACCATGCTGAGATGACTAAGATAATCGACAACAGAGATGAACTTTCAAAATATCCTTCCTAAATCCTCTCTTGCATACAGTTTTAATTAGAGAAAATGTAATACCTGGGTGGGGGGGGAGGAGTGTCCATACAATTAACTTGCAAGGAAGGCAGATGATGAAACAGTACAATGCGCACTTGGGACGTTGTGCAACAAGTATGGGCAAGTTCAGTAATTAGTCTCCTAAGAGGCAAATTAAATGATTTGTTTGTTGATAGACAACATTGGAAGTATATTTTTACAGATTCAATTCAGAACAGATTGATATACAAGATAGAATTTAGAATTCGTTTTTATATTTTTATTTATTTTTTTAAAAAGCCAAGGGTTTAGAGTTTCAGCCATATTTTTTTTAAAGTTGTGATTTCAATTGGACACCAAACTGCAATCAAATAAAGGAAAAGTTTAGTAGGCTTATCTTGTGAACATCTAAGTTTCAAAACATCCACCATTCATCTGAGACAAATTTATTTTACCCTGATAAGCAGTATATATAAAAAACTAATTGCTTGCTACCTTTTTATGGTGCACATAGAGTGTACAGGATATTTTTTGTAGTTTATGTCATTAAGAAAAAAAAAAAGTTCTATTTAGAAGTCATTGTGTTACAAAGACATACCCTTTCTTTAATCTTCTCCCAGATAATCCGTGTCATTTCATCACCATCGAGTTCAACGACAGGATTAGCCACTTCAATCCTCTTCTTTGCATCTGGAAATAAATAAAAAGATAAGCCAATTAAATCAATGACAGATTAAGAGTGAACAAATTCATTAATAAATGAAAATTCACAACTATAATCTTTGTCAACAACTTTTCTAGGATTTGTTTTATGCTAATCAAAAATCAACAAAATACACCATGTGCTTCAGTACAAAGACTAAAAATTAACTGGTGAAATTAGCATACAAAGCAACAAAGGAAATCCTTTAACTAACTTTTCAAAGTCATGGCAGTTCAGTTATTAGAAAAAAAAAGAAAGAAAAAAAGTGAGTCATGTACACTTACATCCTGAAGAGACATGATATTTATGAAAAAAAAAAAAAAAAAAAAAAAAAAAAGAGTTTAAGCTCAGATTGGCAGCTGAACTATAAAAGAAAAAAAAGACCTATAGTTAACTGGGGCAAAGAATGGCTTTTTTAATTTTAACAAAACTACCTCCCGTAATCATCCAAGAGACCTTTTGACCTTCCATCAGCATGACTTGTTGCACTTTCTCAGGCTAAAATGAAGCAGAAAGACTATACTGAGTATTGCTAGGTCTGCTTCTAAAGAAAATTGCTTCATGGTATCATGCTAGACAATTTTCCTCTTCAGAATCTATAAGTTTACCATTCACCCATGTTTTGAATATAGACACCATATACGGTCCAGTGCTCCTGTTATATATTTAGTGCTTCTTGATAAAAATCAAAAGAATTGGCAATATTATCAGTCCCGAGCTGGCATCTCTGGCTTAGTTACTTTCCCACTGCCATAAAGTTGTTTCCCTGTGCCTTTTCTTTATAAATACTTTCATGGTAATTGTTCAGATGAGTTCTTTGCTATGGTACCTAGACTTTGTGAATTTAAGCACAGTACAAGATTGGCAACAAAGTCTTATCAATTAACAGTTGAGTTGGATTAGATGTAACTATGCTAACAGTTCCCGTTCTTGCACTTCTTGCATGTGGAACTCCTCCAGCTCCATGCTTTTCGTCCGTTGATCTTCAAAAATTTAAATGCAATGTTGGTCATTATCTCTTCTTTCTGATCAGTATTGGTCTCACTATTTAATGGTTCTGTTTTCTAATTCTTTCACACCCAGTAATCTCCTTGTCTTAGTGGCTTTACTGCCTTACTGGAGAGGGGGGGATTGGAATTTTTTTTTTTTTTTATTAAAAAAGTTAGGCTATCAAAATTCCTACACTCATTTAACAAGTTTTTCAGTCATTTTAAAAATTTCTTGCGACTGTTCCAGACAACCATTACAAAGGGGAAGACTTTTCTTTTCAAAGTATCTTGCTTTTTTTTCTAAAATACAAGTTTAGTACAGTAAACTATTACAAGTGCAATCAATATGCAGATTATGAATAAACAATAGATATTTAAGTTCCAACTTAATCAGATTATGAAGAGGATCGACAAAAACTATCAACAAGGTACAACAAAATTAAATCTCAGCATATATTGTATATTGGGATTATTTTGACCTAATTTTTCTGAATTGTATTAACTCCTGACATGAAAAGTGACACTATGACAGATGTTTGCTTTTACAGTGTAATTAAAAGTTTCAGATTTTTTTTTTTATATAAAAAGTAATTGTTACCTAAAATTACTAACAAGTAATTGTTACTTAGAAAGTACTAACAAGAAATTGTTACCTACAAATTACTACCACATAATTGTTATCTACAAATTTAAAACCAGAAATTACATTTTAGGAAAATTTTCTTTGTTTATATTTGAGTATACTGGAAAAATGGTTGGTACTCTGTACTGCTTCTGTAAGTACTTGACGCCTTCCTGCTATACTTTATATGAACAAGATCAAGTCAAGAATGAAGTACTGCTGTCATATGGACAGGAGCTGCAGTCTTCGCAGTGTTGACCGAGTCAAAAAGTTTCTCCACATCCTTGTGGATAATGAATTATTTTCCACCCTACCACTCCTTTCCTCACACATGAAACATTGCAATCATCTGGCTTTATTATTTTGAAGACACTGACATTTCAACACTTGCAATGCCAGTTTGTGATTGATATTCTGGAGATTAAGTATAAGGTCTATATACCAATGATGACAGAACAAAATGTTCGATTCATGATTGTAGTATGGGAAATACTTAAAAAAAAAAAAAAAAAAAAAGAATTATTTACCTATAGAGCCCACATCATTTTTTTTTTTAGATATTTCCGACATGCCAAAATTTACTTAAATTGTTGTATAGCTTAAAAATGGTCGATTTCTACATTATTTTGATGTCATTTTTGGATCCCTTGCACTCAAAAACTTTCCTGTGCAAATTTTCATGGTTCTAGCATGTCTGGATGGAATTTTATTGTATAAAAAGGGATTTTGTAATGTTGCAGTTTTCTTGCAAATTGCATTTCACACAAAATCTGAAGAAGGAAAAAAAAGAAAAAAAAAGGCATATTTTCTGAGCCACTTTGACTTAGAGGCTCAAATTTTCAGGATTGTCTTGTTTCAATGATAACTACTACTGGTTAAAATTTGAAACTCTGCGAGGTAAGGCTGACCTAATCTGGATGATTTACATGGAATTACCCAAAAGAGTTCAATATGAACGTTACTGAAGACAGAGAACACAGCAGTTAAAATCTGATGATAGCAACAAAAATGAGGATGTTAGTCTAAATGTAAAAAGTGATAACACCTCATCCCAGGAATTCAGATAGAAATTTCATTCACTTGAAGGGGGGTTATTAAGAGTCATCAACACCAATGTAAACATTTGACTAAATAGAAACCCTTGAGTTGTGAATATCATCCCAGACGGTTTGTTAACAGAAGCCTTGCCTCAAATAATTTATCGTATTTTCAAATCAATAAATTCACTGCAATGGACCAAGTCCTCCAGCCCAAAGGAATGTGGAATACAGTTTTGTTTTTTTTCAGTGTTGGGTTTGAAAGACATTTCTCAGTAAGAGATAGATCAAGTATCGACCATCATAAAGACTGAAAACTAAAAATTGACAGATTGTTTAAGGTCGACAGACACGGATGTCTTAATTATTTTTTTTTTTTTTTTTTTTTTTAATGAATTGGTCAAACCCAAACAAAAACATTGTTTTCAATTTTTCAATCGTTATGAGTCTGCCGATTGAATAGAATTTTATTATAAACAATTGTCTTGTAAATGGAATCTTTAAAGCATTCTGAATGTAAAAATAAAGAAAAAAAGTGTGCAAGACAATAAGAAACACTACCTGCCAAAAAAAAAAAAAAAAAAAAAAAAGTGAAGTTTTGTTGAAATCTGATCCCATATATAAACAAACACACAAACAACCTGGGTTTTATAAGTAAAACTCGATAGGAGTTGTCCCCCTTTCATTCTGGTGACAATCGTGTTTTCAAATTGATTTTGTACAAAAACAATTGTCTTTTTCCAATTTTTGGTGCTGTCAGAACCACAGCAAGGTAATTTTACGCAGTCCTGTGAAGTTTTGTTGAAAAATGTAGGAAATCTGATCCAATATATAAACGTACAAACACACAATCTGCTTTTTAATAATATATATATATATATATATATATATATATATATATATATATATATATATATAATTTCTAACACTTTAGTCACTTGAAAAGCAAATAAATTTAAAGCAATTTCTGTGCATGTCAGACAATACATACAGAATGTGATGTTTTATGTAATTTGACAAACATTAATGGCTATACTAATTACATTATTCGGACGACTGTCCTCATCTTTGTCGCCATATTTATTACGTTTGTCATTGTACACTCCGGCCTTCTTCAGGTGGTTGGAATGTCGAACTGAACCCTTTATTTCGCTCAAGGACACATGGCACAGTGGATAAAGGTGTCAGTTAGATCCAGTGACAGGACCCAAAGAGTGTGAGTTCAATACCTGGTTAAGGCAGTGGAGAATTTGGAGAGGGGAATTAACAGGAGATAACTGTCAACTGACCTTCATTAAACATGGAACTAGAACAGTCTACTCCAGTGAGTGAAATAAAGGGTTCAGTCCGACATTCCAACCATCTGAAGGCTGGAGCGTACGACAACCGAAATATTGTAATAAACATGGCGACAAAGACGAGGACAATAGTCCGAATAATGTAAATAGCATACATAATACCTCATCTCAGAAATATAGACATATTAATGACTATATATGAAGGTTTTATTTTTTTCATGAGTATTTGTAATTTGATTTTAAAGTGGCACTTTTCATTGGGCTTAATCTAGAAAGAAAGCTTAACTTTTTATCTTGAAGTCAATTCATAATAGCTTTGATTATGTACTAAAATGATTATATTTCAATCATTAAATACATTTAGGACTATCTACTGAACAGAAATCAAAGTTTATCCCTTGTTTCCAGTTTGGGATTGGGTTTTCAGTTCCTTCTAATGTATCCTTCAACTCTATACTTCTAACCTCATCTAAAACTGAACTTTTATTTATTATGCCCCCCCCCCCCAAAAAAAAAAAAAACTTTTGACAAAACTATTACCAGCTTTCAGAGTTCACTTCCATATGGACCTGGTCAACAAGAGGTGTGTCTAAAACTCTTTGATGCCTGCTGTGTCAACCAGGCAGGATAGTTTTATAGGCTAACAATTACCTAACATGGTAATCATTTCTAAAAAAGCCTTCAGATTAAGAAAATATTTACTGTATATACAGTGAGAGTCTATGATCGTTTTTTTTTTTGTTGGTGCTACCACAGTATGATATCTACCGTCCATTTTCTACTAGGGTATGATACTTACCGACAGTGTCAGGGTTAGCGGTAGTGAACTGGCTATGTATTAAGAATCACACACACACACACATATATATATATATATTTTCATCAAATAGTGATTTTAATGTTTGTAAACTGATTTGATGTCATTTAAAAAAGAAAAAAAAAAAAAAGAAAAAAAGTCCAACAGGTCAGTTTTTCCTGAGCATTTTCCAGCAATAAAAAGGGGCATCGTCATTTATAGTAGGCCACAAATACCTTAGTAGA